ACCAGAAGCACAAATTATGGGTTGTATTGGAACAATAAATGGCGGGAGCCCCGCTTGCAGGACTTCCATGGGCAGAAAAGCAACACAAATCCCACCTGAATGCTCTTCCACTAATAGGCCCCCTGTTGACTGAACTGAGCAGGTTTTTTTTTCAATGGCATCTTTGGAGAGCTTTCCCTCTCCCCTGACGCCTATCATAGGCCACCCTGGGTTTCCACCCGAGCTTACAGATTCTAGCTTCCGATCCCTGACCTCTCAGGGTCTACTCCGTGCTTCTCACTTTCTGCGATCCCCTGGCTGGGTTGCGTTGGATACCTTGTTTCCCAGCCCATCCACCTCATTCATAGACTGTTGGAAGACCCTCCAACTATCCCACTTTCTGTATTCTCTACCTAAACATTCACTATTCCCTAGAATGTTACACGCATTCGAGGAGCTGTGTGTCAGGAATGGATTCACCACTGGTGGTGGGACTCACCTGCCGTGTGGGCTGCAGTACCAGGGCTGGCCAGCGGGTGCTCTCAGCAACCAGAAGTTCACTCCTGCAATCAGCCATCACCTGAGGCTGATTGCAGGAGGTGTATTTAAGGAATGGCCGGTCCTGCAGTCAGTGCCTTGGTGTATTGTTTTCCCATGAGCCCCTGTACCTTGTATCCTGTGTTCCTGCCTATCTGCCTAGTTGCTGACCCTGCTTTGATCCTGACCTCTGATGACCGTCTCCTGTTTAACCCCTGGCTTGCCTGACCATCCTTCTGCCTGATCCTCTGTACCCCGCGCTGCCCGCGAGTTACTGAACCCGGCTTGTGACCCTGACTATTTTCTGCCTGCTCCTCCGGTACCTCGCTGCCCGCATGTTGCTGACCTGGCCTGCCTGACTACGCCTGACGCTACCCAGACGATCCATCCATCCTGCACGGATCTGTCCCTTTTACCAGGTCTGCCAGCCTTTTCACATCAGGCTCCTTTCCCCGCACACCTCTGACGACGCTCTTTACCATTGCCGGACGTACTCAGGGGTTGCGACCTGGTCTCAGTCTGCTCCAAGTCCATTCCCACCATCAGGGGCCCTGGTGAATAAGCATATTGGAACTTAAACCCTGCGCCCTGTACAGTACCTAATAGCCTGCCTGACCATTCCACCTCTCCAGCCCTGACTACGCCTCTGTTCCCACACATTTCTGGTCATACCCGGATCCCTAACACTGTGTTTAGGAGAAGGTCCGATCCAAAGCTCTTTTTCTACCTCTTACAAATACCTCCTAGATCTCAATGCTCAGTCCAACCCCCCCCCCCCCCCCTACTTGACTAAGTGGGAACGAGACTTGCAGGTTACTTTCTCGGATTCCCAAAAGGAACGCATACTCTTCTTTGCTCATAAATCGGCCCTCTGTAACAAATACCAAGAGACCACCTACAAGATAGTGACACTGTGGTATAGGACGCCGTCAGTCCTTGTGAAACTGTACCCTCAACAGAGTGATTGTTGGAGATGTGGTTTGTCGGTAGGTACTCTCTTACATATCTTTTGGGAATGCCCTAAACTTCAAACCTTCTGGTAACCTATGCTCCCCCTTACCCATAAATTTATGGATATCTCACTGCAAGATAACCCTGCTGCGATTCTGCTCAATCCAAGTCCCTTATCGCATAAGCGGTATCACAGATCTCTTCTGAAGCACCTGTTGAATGCAGCGCGGGCCTGCATCCCTAGCTTATGGAAACAACAATCTCCCCTGACAGTTGTCCAATGGCTTGCAAGGGTGAATGATATAGAACAACTGGAGCACTTCAACCTTGCGAGACAAACCTGAGGAACATAAGACCAGGTGGTTTTATTGGAATCTCTTTCGGTTCTCCAATGAATATATGCGATATACATGACTAGCGTAGTCTCCTTCTGTCGGCTCTTTCCATGGATAGAAGTTGAGATGCACCTCCTCCGAGTTCCCTCAGAGGCTCTCCTCCCCCCCCCCCCCCCCCCCTTCTACCCCCCTCACCATGCCTCTTACTAAATACCTTGAACTATTTTCCATAAATGGGTAATTTTTGGGGGTATTTGTATTATCCTGGCGTTTTCGGGCCTCAGGAAATGAGATGGGCCGTCAGTACATCAGGATTGATCGATTGTCAGATATACAGTATCTCCCAGAAGTGAGTCCACCCCTCACATCTTTTCATGTGACAACACTGAAGAAATAACACTTTGCTACAATGTGACGTAGTCAGTGTACAGCTTGTATAACATGTAAATTTGCTGTCCCCCCCTCAAAATAACTCAACACACCGCCATTAATGTCTAAACCGCTGGCAACAAAAGTGAGTCCACCCCTAAGTTGCAATGTCCAAATTGGACCCAATTGGCCATTTTCCCTCCCTGGTGTCATGTGACTCGGTAATGTTACAAGGTCTCAGGTGTGAATGGGGAGCGGGTGGGTTACATTTGGTGTTATCGCTCTCACTCTCTCATACTGGTCACTGGAAGTTCAACATGGCACCTCATGGAAAAGAACTCTCTGAGGATCTGAAAAAAAGAATTGTTGCTCTACATAAAGATGGCCTAGGCTATAAGAAGATTGCCAAGACCCTGAAACTGAGCTGCAGTATGGTGGCCAGGCCCATACAGCGATTTAACAGGACAGATTCCACTCAGAACAGGCCTCGCCATGGTCCACCAAAGAGGTTGAGTGCACGTGCTCAGCGTCATATCCAGAGGTTGACTTTGGGAAATAGACGTATGAGTGCTGCCAGCATTGCTGCAGAGGGTGAAGGGGTGGGGGGGTCAGACTGTCAGGGCTCAGACCATACACCGCATGCTGCATCAAATTGGTCTGCATGGCTGTCGTCCCAGAAGGAAGCCTCTCTAAAGATGATGCACAAGAAAGCCCGCAAACAGTTTGCTGAAGACAAGCAGACTAAGGACATGGATTATTGGAACCGTGTCCTGTGGTCTGATGACACCAAGATCAACTGATTTGGTTCAGATGGTGTCAAGCGTGTGTGGCGGCAACCAGGTGAGGAGTACAAAGACAAGTGTGTCTTGCCTACAGTCAAGCATGGTGGTGGGAGTGTCATGGTCTGGGGCTGCATGAGTGCTGCCGGCACTGGGGAGCTACAATTCATTGAGGGAACCATGAATGCCAACATGTACTGTGACATACTGAAGCAGAGCATGATCTCCTCCCTTCGGACACTGGGCCGCAGGGCAGTATTCCAACATAACGACCCCAAACACACCTCCAAGACCACCACTGCCTTGCTAAAGAAGCTGAGGGTAAAGGTGATGGACTGGCCAAGCATGTCTCCAGACCTAAATCCTATTGAGCATCTGTGGGACATCCTCAAACAGAAGGTGGTGGAGCGCAAGGTCTCTAACATCCACCAGCTCCAAGATGTCGTCATGGAGGAGGGGAAGAGGACTCCAGTGGTAACCTGTGAAGCTCTGGTGACCTCCATTCCCAAGAGGGGTAAGGCAGTGCTGGAAAATAATGGCGGCCACACAAAATATTGACACTTTGGGCCCAGTTTGGACCTTGTCACTTAGGGGTGGAGTCACTTTTGTTGCCAGCGGTTTAGACATTAATGGCTGTGTGTTGAGTTATTTTGAGGGGACGGCAAATTTACATGTTATACAAGCTGTACACTGACTATGTCACATTGTAGCAAAGTGTCTGTCAGGAATGGACTGGCCAGCAATAGTGGGACTCACCTGCCTTATGAGCTGCAGTACCAGGGCTGGCCAGCGGGTGCTCCCAGCAATCAGAGACTCAACCTTGCAGCCAGTCAAACACCTGGAACTAATTATACTGGTGTATTTAAGGGACATTCAGACCTGCAGACTCTGCCTTGGTGTGTGTTTTTCCTGGGCCCTGTATCCTGTTCCTGCTTCCTGTTTCTGTTCCTATTCCTGTTCCTGTCTTGTTGCTGACCCGACCTGATCTATACCTCTGCTGACTTCTCCTGCTCTGACCCCGGCTCGTTCCTGACCATCCCTCTGCCTGACCCTCTGTACCACGCTGCCCGCTACCTGCTGACCCTGGCTTGTGACCCCGACCATTCTCCGCTTGCTCCCCCTGTACCTACCTGCCCGATTGATATTGACCCAGCCTGCTTGACGACGCTTGCATTGTATGTACTGTTATCTGTGGGTGGTTGGTTGGGTTTGTTTGCACTGTATTATGTTTAGTATTGCACTGCGTTTATGTTTGTATTGTTAGTGTTAATAAATCGTATTGTTTATAACATATCTGAAGTCTGCGTTTCCCTGCGTCAGTCACACACCTCTGGTCATACCCGGGAGCCCTGACATTACACCAAGGCCAATCCTGACCAGAAGTGGCTGCACAGGGAAGCCATCTTGGTTTGTTGATGGAAGGATGGATCTTGATGAGGTTGTGTATTTATATCTGCTAGTGTTTGATGACAGAGAGTATACTTATCAAACTCTGAAGGAGTATACCCGGGATGAACTGCTAGAATGTATACGGCTCGCTCATGTTCTAGTAGATCAGGGCACAGAGTTTCTCTGAGGTGCAGCCTTTGATTCAGGTTTGTGTTGAGTTGGTTTCATCTGGTACCCCCAAATGCAGGGATGAATTTTTGCCACCATTTAGTGCCGACCAGGTAGAGTCCCTGGTGTGGTTATTAGAGGATGATGTGGGTTACTTTCTGGAGCGTTATTCCACATGTTCACCACAGATACTAAGAGATTGTATAAACGCAGTGCAGTCTTTGGTCAGACAGGCTTTGTGTAAGCTCAGCTTTGTTCAACCCATACTGCAGACATGGACAGACTTGTTGCACCCAGCCTCAGTCAGCTTACAAAAACCCAGTCCTGCTTCTAATCTATTTCCTCAAAGCTCTACTCCTGTATTCCCAACAAACTCCCCCAGTTACAGCCCAGTATACTTGGCTATCTACCACATGTCAGTACCCTGTTCCCACTCGCTGCACCTATCCTGCCTTTAACCCTGTAAAGAAGCCCTCTGTAGCGACTGTTCCTTCCCCTGTTCCATCCTCCAGCTCTTCTCTGTCTCCAGCTGCTCCATTCATTTGCAGACCTGCGTTTACTTGCAGTGCCCCAGTAGTTAAAACCAGAAAAAAGCGAAAATTCTTTCCAACCAATACCATCCTGCCAGTATCCAAACCGGTGAGCCTACCGTCCGAGAACCTGCCTTCCGTGGTTCAGCCTGATGCCTCTCTTCAGCCTGATGCCTCTCTTCAGCCTGATGCCTCTCCTCAGCCTGAAGCCTCTACTCAGCCGGATGCCTCTACCCAGCATAATGAACTGATCCAGCCTGATGATCCTATTAAGCCAGTTAACTCGATGCCCGCTGTTGATCCAGATGATCCGGTACCTGATCCGGTGCCCGCTGTCGTGCCAATTGACTCCGAGCCCGCTGTCGTACCTGGTGACTCGGTGCCCACTGCCTTGCCAGATGACGTGGTGCCCGCTGGCGAGCCGAATGACCTGATTCCTGGGACCCAGTGCCCGCTGTCATACCTGGTGACCCGATGCCCGCTGTCGAGCCAGACGATCCAATGCCAGACGACTCGGTGCCCGCAGTCTTGCCAGACGACTCGGTGCCCGCAGTCTTGCCAGACGACTCGGTGCCCGCAGTCTTGCCAGACGACTCGGTGCCCGCAGTCTTGCCAGACGACTCGGTGCCCGCAGTCTTGCCAGACGACTCGGTGCCCGCAGTCTTGCCAGACGACTCGGTGCCCGCTGTTCCGCCAGTTGACTCGGTGCCCGCAGTCTTGCCAGACGACTCGGTGCCCGCCGTCTTGCCAGACGACTCGGTGCCCGCCGTCTTGCCAGACGACTCGGTGCCCGCCGTCTTGCCAGACGACTCGGTGCCCGCCGTCTTGCCAGACGACTCGGTGCCCGCCGTCTTGCCAGACGACTCGGTGCCCGCAGTCTTGCCAGACGACTCGGTGCCCGCAGTCTTGCCAGACGACTCGGTGCCCGCAGTTTGCCAGTTGACTCGTGCCCGCTGTCGCCAGACGACTCGGTGCCCGCAGTCTTGCCAGACGACTCGGTGCCCGCAGTCTTGCCAGACGACTCGGTGCCCGCAGTCTTGCCAGACGACTCGGTGCCCGCAGTCTTGCCAGACGACTCGGTGCCCGCCCTTGCCAGAACGACTCGGTGCCCGCAGTCTTGCCAGACGACTCGGTGCCCGCAGTCTTGCCAGACGACTCGGTGCCCGCAGTCTTGCCAGACGACTCGGTGCCCGCAGTCTTGCCAGACGACTCGGTGCCCGCCGTCTTGCCAGACGACTCGGTGCCCGCCGTCTTGCCAGACGACTCGGTGCCCGCCGTCTTGCCAGACGACTCGGTGCCCGCAGTCTTGCCAGACGACTCGGTGCCCGCAGTCTTGCCAGACGACTCGGTGCCCGCAGTCTTGCCAGACGACTCGGTGCCCGCCGTCTTGCCAGACGACTCGGTGCCCGCCGTCTTGCCAGACGACTCGGTGCCCGCCGTCTTGCCAGACGACTCGGTGCCCGCCGTCTTGCCAGACGACTCGGTGCCCGCCGTCTTGCCCAGACGACTCGGTGCCCGCCGTCTTGCCAGACGACTCGGTGCCCGCGTCTTGCCAGACGACTCGGTGCCCGCCGTCTTGCCAGACGACTCGGTGCCCGCCGTCTTGCCAGACGACTCGGTGCCCGCCGTCTTGCCAGACGACTCGGTGCCCGCCGTCTTGCCAGACGACTCGGTGCCCGCCGTCTTGCCAGACGACTCGGTGCCCGCAGTCTTGCCAGACGACTCGGTGCCCGCCGTCTTGCCAGACGACTCGGTGCCCGCAGTCTTGCCAGACGACTCGGTGCCCGCAGTCTTGCCAGACGACTCGGTGCCCGCAGTCTTGCCAGACGACTCGGTGCCCGCAGTCTTGCCAGACGACTCGGTGCCCGCAGTCTTGCCAGACGACTCGGTGCCCGCAGTCTTGCCAGACGACTCGGTGCCCGCAGTCTTGCCAGACGACTCGGTGCCCCCGTCTTGCCAGACGACTCGGTGCCCGCAGTCTTGCCAGACGACTCGGTGCCCGCAGTCTTGCCAGACGACTCGGTGCCCGCAGTCTTGCCAGACGACTCGGTGCCCGCAGTCTTGCCAGACGACTCGGTGCCGCAGTCTTGCCAGACGACTCGGTGCCCGCAGTCTTGCCAGACGACTCGGTGCCCGCTGTTCCGCCAGACGACTCGGTGCCCGCAGTCTTGCCAGACGACTCGGTGCCCGCAGTCTTGCCAGCCCGCTGTTCCTTGCCGACTCGGTGCCCGCAGTCTTGCCAGACGACTCGGTGCCCGCAGTCTTGCCAGACGACTCGGTGCCCGCAGTCTTGCCAGACCAGTTGACTCGGTGCCCCAGTCTTGCCAGACGACTCGGTGCCCGCAGTCTTGCCAGACGACTCGGTGCCCGCAGTCTTGCCAGACGACTCGGTGCAGTCTTGCCAGACGACTCGGTGCCCGCAGTCTTGCCAGACGACTCGGTGCCCGCAGTCTTGCCAGACGACTCGGTGCCCGCAGTCTTGCCAGACGACTCGGTGCCCGCAGTCTTGCCAGACGACTCGGTGCCCGCAGTCTTGCCAGACGACTCGGTGCCCGCAGTCTTGCCAGACGACTCGGTGCCCGCAGTCTTGCCAGACGACCGAAGTGCCCCCGCTGTTCCGCCAGTTGGCTCGGTGCCCGCAGTCTTGCCAGACGACTCGAAGCCCGCTGTTCCGCCAGACTCGGTGCCCGCAGTCTTGCCAGACGACTCGGTGCCCGCAGTCTTGCCAGACGACTCGGTGCCCGCAGTCTTGCCAGACGACTCGGTGCCCGCAGTCTTGCCAGACGACTCGGTGCCCGCAGTCTTGCCAGACGACTCGGTGCCCGCAGTCTTGCCAGACGACTCGGTGCCCCGCAGTCTTGCCAGACGACTCGGTGCCCGCAGTCTTGCCAGACGACTCGGTGCCCGCAGTCTTGCCAGACGACTCGGTGCCCGCAGTCTTGCCAGACGACTCGGTGCCCGCAGTCTTGCCAGACGACTCGGTGCCCGCAGTCTTGCCAGACGACTCGGTGCCCGCAGTCTTGCCAGACGACTCGGTGCCCGCAGTCTTGCCAGACGACTCGGTGCCCGCAGTCTTGCCAGACGACTCGGTGCCCGCAGTCTTGCCAGACGACTCGGTGCCCGCAGTCTTGCCAGACGACTCGGTGCCCGCAGTCTTGCCAGACGACTCGGTGCCCGCCAGTCTCGGTGCCAGACGACTCGCCAGCCCGCAGTCTTGCCAGACGACTCGGTGCCCGCCGTCTTGCCAGACGACTCGGTGCCCGCAGTCTTGCCAGACGACTCGGTGCCCGCAGTCTTGCCAGACGACTCGGTGCCCGCAGTCTTGCCAGACGACTCGGTGCCCGCAGTCTTGCCAGACGACTCGGTGCCCGCAGTCTTGCCAGACGACTCGGTGCCCGCAGTCTTGCCAGACGACTCGGTGCCCGCAGTCTTGCCAGACGACTCGGTGCCCGCAGTCTTGCCAGACGACTCGGTGCCCGCAGTCTTGCCAGACGACTCGGTGCCCGCAGTCTTGCCAGACGACTCGGTGCCCGCAGTCTTGCCAGACGACTCGGTGCCCTTGCCAGTCTTGCCAGACGACTCGGTGCCCGCAGTCTTGCCAGACGACTCGGTGCCCGCAGTCTTGCCAGACGACTCGGTGCCCGCAGTCCAGACACTGCCAGACGACTCGGTGCCCGCAGTCTTGCCAGACGACTCGGTGCCCGCAGTCTTGCCAGACGACTCGGTGCCCGCAGTCCGCAGTCCAGACGACTCGGGTGCCCGCAGTCCCGCCCTCGCTGGCAGGGCCAGACGACTCGGTGCCCGCTCCGCCTGGGGATGCGCTGTCTTGCCAGACGACTCGGTGCCCGCAGTCTTGCCAGACGACTGTCGCCGGCCCCGCAGTCTTGCCAGACGACTCGGTGCCCGGGGGACCTGGTGCCTGTCTTTCCGCCTGGGGGCCTGAGACCTGTCGCTTGCCGCCTCGGTGCCCCCTGAGGGCCCGGCGCCTGCTGCTCCGCTGACTGGGGGCCCTGAGCCTGTCGCCGCCCGCCTGGGGGCCGACTCGGTGCCCCTGCTCCGCCTGGGGCCCGCCTGCCTGTCGCCCCGCCGGGGGGTCCGGAGACCTGTCGCTCCGCCTGGGGCCCTGCCCCCTCGCCCGCCTGGGGGCCCCTGGGGGGCCCGACTGCCTGTCGCCCCGCCTGGGGGCCCGAGACCTGTCGCCCGCCGGGCCCTGAGACCTGCCTCGCTGCTTCGCCTGGGGCCCGATGTGCCTCTGCCCGGAGTCCAGCCCGATGTGCCTCTGCCCCCCGCCTGGGAGTCCGCGCCCGATGTGCCTGGGGGCCCGATGCCTGTCGCCCGCCGGGGGCCTCTGCCCGGAGTCCAGCCCGATGGGCCCGATGCCTGGAGTCCGCCGATGGGCCTCTGCCCGGAGTCCAGCCCGATGTGCCTCTGCCTGGCCCGGGGAGTCCAGCCCGATGTGCCTCTGCCTGGGAGTCCAGCCCGATGTGCCTGCCGATGTGCCTCTCGCCCCGGAGTCCAGCCCGATGTGCCTCTGCCGGGGAGTCCAGCCCGATGTGCCTCTGCCGGGAGTCCAGCCCGCCCGATGCCCTGGGAGTCCAGCCCGATGTGCCTCTGCCGGGAGTCCAGCCCGATGTGCCTCTGCCGGGAGTCCAGCCCGATGTGCCTCTGCCGGGAGTCCAGCCCGATGTGCCTCTGCCGGGAGTCCAGCCCGATGTGCCTCTGCCGGGAGTCCAGCCCGATGTGCCTCTGCCGGGAGTCCAGCCCGATGTGCCTCTGCCGGGAGTCCAGCCCGATGTGCCTCTGCCCGGGAGTCCAGCCGATGTGCCTCTGCCCGTGTGCCTTTGCCCGGTGTGCCCGTTGCCCGGTTGCCCGGGAGCCCCCGGTGTGCCGCTGCCGGAGTCCTGCCCAGTGTGCCAGTCTTTGATATCCCGCCAGTTACCAGACCCGGGCGGTGGAACGTTTTGCCCAGTTAGGACTGTTTGGAGCGTCCTGAGGCCGCTCCTTGAGGGGGGGGGGTACTGTCAGGAATGGACTGGCCAGCAATAGTGGGACTCCCAGTTACCAGGAGCCTTATGAGCTGCAGTACCAGGGCTGGCCAGCGGGTGCTCCCAGCAATCAGAGACTCAACCTTGCAGCCAGTCAAACACCTGGAACTAATTATACTGGTGTATTTAAGGGACATTCAGACCTGCAGACTCTGCCTTGGTGTGTGTTTTTCCTGGGCCCTGTATCCTGTTCCTGCTTCCTGTTTCTGTTCCTATTCCTGTTCCTGTCTTGTTGCTGACCCGGGCCTGATATATACCTCTGCTGACTTCTCCTGCTCTGACCCCGGCTCGTTCCTGACCATCCCTCTGCCTGACCCTCTGTACCACGCTGCCCGCTACCTGCTGACCCTGGCTTGTGACCCCGACCATTCTCCGCTTGCTCCCCCTGTACCTACCTGCCCGATTGATATTGACCCGGCCTGCCTGACGACGCTTGCATTGTATGTACTGTTATCTGTGGGTGGTTGGTTTGGTTTGTTTGCACTGTGTTATGTTTAGTATTGCACTGCGTTTATGTTTGTATTGTTAGTGTTAATAAATTATATTGTTTATAACATATCTGAAGTCTGCGTTTCCCTGCGTCAGTCACACACCTCTGGTCATACCCGGGAGCCCTGACAGTGTCATTTCTTCAGTGTTGTCACATGAAAAGATAGAACAAAATATTTACAAAAATGTGAGGGGTGGGCTTACTTCTGTGAGATTCCTTGGGTTGTGGACTCTATATCTTTCCTACAGACTAAATAATATACACTAATTTGGGGTATTTTCATCAAAGAAATGTAGTAGAATACATTTTGACCTAAATTTATGAAGAAATGTTATTTATTTGCAAAATTTTATAACAGAAACAAAGAAAAATGCATTTTTTAAAAAAGGTTTCAGGTTTTTTTTTGTTTTACTTAGCAAAAAAAAAAACTCGGTGATTAAATACCACCAAAACAAAGCTCTATTTGTGTGAAAAAAAATTAGAAAAATTTTATATGGGTACAATGTCGCATGAGTGGTGGGCAATTGGCATTCAAAGTGCAACAGCGATGAAAGCTGAAAATTGGCAGGAAGGGGGTATAAGTGCCCGGTAGGCAAGTGGTTAAATGAAGAATTAAAAAATACCTTTTTCATAGTCTTTTTTGAGTTTGGGCAAGGAAACAGGGGCCCCATGATCCCGTATTGCCCGGGGGCCCCATGAGTTGTCAGTCCGCTCCTGGTCCCTTAACTATACGTAACCTTTAACCACTTCCCGTCTGGCCCATGTACATAAACGGCCAGACAGGAGCAGTGCAGGTTCGGGTTGCCGTTCATAAACAGTCCCCGCATTTACATTCTGTGCGCGCTCCCTGGGAGCACACGGCACCGCGATCCGGCGCCTGGACACAGCGGAACACCGATCGTTGTACGGGACCTCAGTGTGAGGTCCCGATTCATGTGATCGCTGATTGGCTAATCAGCGATCACATGAACAGTAGTAAACAAGATGTCACTTCTGACATCGTTGCTTACTACTAATGAAATCTGTGAATGATCACAGAGGTCACATGGTACAGGGCCATTCACAACAGCCTTGTCCCATGTGACAAGCTGTGACCAATCACAGCTCGCACATGATTTCTCAATGGCTGCAAGAATGCAGCCAGAACGAAGGAGAAGTGATTGCTTTTACATCCTATATGTGTGTAAAAGCAATCAGTGTAAAAAAAAAAAAAAAAATCATCACCCCCGCACAAGTAGTACAGTGCCAGCATGTAAAAAAACAAAAACCATAAATAATAATATAAGAAAAAAAACTGCATTTGAAAAACCGCTGCGCAAATACCATGACAAAAAAAATCGCAAAACCCACCAATTTATTTTCTAGGGTCTCTACTTTAAAAATATATACGAGGGGCGTTCAAGCCAAACTGGGACTTTTCATTTTCCAGGTATAAAAAGGGGTTCTAGCGTGGCAGTACTACACGCAGTAGTAAGTGGCAAGTGCGTCCTATTACTGATAGTCGGCACACATGTGGCAGGCCAGTCCAGAGACTGTTAATCAAGATGGCAGACACCAGTGTTAGTGCGTGCATGGAAAAGCGTGTGGTGATGATGTTTCTTGTGAACAAAGGGGGGGGGGGGAAACTAACTTGGTGTCACCGACATCCCCAGTGACACCAATACAGTGATCAGGGCTAATAAAAAGCACTGACACTGTACTAATGACACTGGGCAAGAAGGGGTTAACATCTGGGCCGATCAAAGGGTTAACTGTGCGCTGTTTTACTGTGTGTCGTGTGTGCGCTTCACGGTAATCACACTGCTAAGCAGAGCCATACAAAGCAGTGTGCAGGAGCTGACAGGAGAGAGGTCTGTATTGTTTACATACAGACCTCTCCCACGTCAGTGATACTCGGTGATCGCCAGGTGCCAGCGGGGAATCACCGGCCGGGACCCGGTGATCGACAGCTGAAGCTGCCACTGGCGGCGCGGGTAGGGCGCGCGCACCCCCTACCCGGAAATGCAAAATCACTTATATATGCATGATTTTGCGCAGCCCTGCCGCCCTGAAGCAGTCTTTCTGCTCTACGGCGGCGGGAAAGTGGTTAAAAAAAAGAGTGCCAGAAAAAAAAGGCCCGGTCTTCGACTGAATAAATATTCTGTGTGCAGAAAAGTATGCAACATCCAATATACGAAGTGTACGTCAAGCCAAAAACTTTTTTTCTAGTTTAGAGTGGAGAAGGATTAAGCAAACCCTACACAGCTCTAATTTTAAATAAATGTCCCAACCCTAATTCAAGTACAGTCTCCGCTTACAATGACTTGCTGGATGCAGAGAAAAAAAAAAGAAGAAGAAAAATGTGTCCCTGGAAATGTTGGCAACTATATATATATATATATTGGGGTGTCAGTAATAACTATTGTTTGTATTGTAATTACAATGCTGATCCTATAAAAGGAAATGTATGCTGTGACCAGGGATCTCCGCTTCCCGTCCGCCCTATAGCAGAAATACTGCTACAGGGCGGCACGGTTGCGCAAAATCATCATATATATTGCAGGTCCAGGTAGGGGCGAGCGCGCCATACCCACGCCGCCATTCGCGGCCTTGGATGTCCCGGCTGTGATTACTCGCCGGCACCCAGTGATCACCAAGTATTACCGACGGGGGAGAGAAGTGTATGTAAGCAATACAGATCTCCCCCCTGTCAGTTCCTGCACACTGCTTTGTATGGCTCTGCATAGCAGAGCCATACAAAGCAGTGTGCTTACAGTGTAAAGCGCACACACAGCACATAATGTGAAACAGCACACAGTTAACCCTTTGATCGCCCCAGATGTTAACCCCTTCCTGCCCAGTGCCATTAGTACAGTGTCAGGGCTTTTTAGTAGCACTGATCACTGTATTGGTGTCACTGGGGATGTCAGTGACACCAAGTCAGTCCCCCCCCCCCCCCCCTAGTGTCAGAATGCCCGCCGCAGTCCCGCTATAAGTTGCTGATCGCCGCCATTACTGGTAAAAATTAAAAAACTAAATTCCAGTATCTACTGTATACCGCCATTTGTAGACGCTATAACTTATACGTAAATCAGTTCATTTACTCGTATTGGGATTTGTTTTCTAGCAAACACGTCGCAGAATACACTTTGGCCTTAAATTTATGACCACATTTGATTTTTTTAATGTACAGGTTTAATAGCAAAAAGTAAAAAATATAGTTTTTTAGCAAAGACACGGAGCAGAATACATTGTGGCCTAAATTTATGACGAAATTTGATTTTTGAAACTTTTTTTTTCACTGGACATGTGTAATAGCAAAAAGTAAAAAAATATTGTTTTTTCTCAATATTTGTCGCTTTTTTTTTTTTGTTTATAGCGCAAAAAATAAAGACTGCACATGCGATCAAATACCATTTTTTTTTTTTAACCATTTTTTTTTAGCAAACAAATGCCGCACAATACATTTTGGCCTAAATTTATGACGAAATTAGATTTTTAAAAATTTTTTAATGTACAGGTTTAATAGCAAAAAGTCAGAAATATCGTTTTTTAGCAAAGACACGGAGCAGAATACATTTTTGCCTAAATTTAGGACGAAATTAGATTTTTTTAAATTTTTTTAATGTACAGGTTTAATGGCAAAATGTCAAAAATATTGTTTTTTTTTCTCAAAATTGTCGGGTTTTTTTTTATAGCGCAAAAAATAAACAATGCACAGGTGATCAAATACCGCAGAAAGAAAGCTTTTGTGGGGAAAAAAAAGGCCGTAAATTTCATTTGGGTGCAGCATTGCATGACGGCGCAATCGTCAGTTAAAGTAACACAGCTCCGCATCGCACAAAATGGCCTGGTTACACGTATTGGAATTTTTTTTTTAGCAAACACATGTCACAGAATACATTTTGGCCTAAATTTATGACGAAATTAGATTTTTAAAATTTTTTTAATGTACAGGTTTAATAGCAAAAGGTCAAAAATATCGTTTTTTAGCAAAGACACGGAGCAGAATACATTTTTGCCTAAATTTAGGACGAATTTTGATTTTTTTACATTTTTTTTAATGTACAGGTTTAATGGCAAAATGTCAAAAATATAGTTTTTTTTCTCAAAATTGTCTTTTTTTTTTTTATAGCGCAAAAAATAAACAATGCACAGGTGGTCAAATACCACCGAAAGAAAGCTAAATTCGTGGGAAAAAAAGGCCGTAAATTTCATTTGGGTGCAGCGTTGTATGACCGCGCAATTGTCAGTTAAAGTAACGCAGCTCCGTATCGCAATAAATGGCCTGGTTACACGCATTGGAATTTTTTTTTTAGCAAACACATGTCGCAGAATACATTTTGGCCTAAATTTATGACGAAATTTGATTTTTTTTTACATTTTTTAATGTACAGGTTTAATGGCAAAATGTCAGAATACATTTTGGCCTAAATTTATGACGAAATTAGATTTTTAAAATTTTTTTTAATGTACAGGTTTAATAGCAAAAGGTCAAAAATATCGTTTTTTAGCAAAGACACGGAGCAGAATACATTTTTGCCTAAATTTAGGACGAATTTTTTTTTTTTACATTTTTTTTTAATGTACAGGTTTAATGGCAAAATGTCAAAAATATAGTTTTTTTCTCAAAATTGTCTTTTTTTTTTTATAGCGCAAAAAAATAAACAATGCACAGGTGGTCAAATACCACCGAAAGAAAGCTAAATTCGTGGGAAAAAAAAGGCCGTAAATTTCATTTGGGTGCAGCGTTGTATGACCGCGCAATTGTCAGTTAAAGTAACGCAGCTTTGCATCGCAAAAAATGGCCTGGTTACACGCATTGGAATTTTTTTTTTTAGCAAACACATGTCGCAGAATACATTTTGGCCTAAATTTATGACGAAATTTGATTTTTTTTTACATTTTTTTAATGTACAGGTTTAATGGCAAAATGTCAGAATACATTTTGGCCTAAATTTATGACGAAATTAGATTTTTAAAAATTTTTTAATGTACAGGTTTAATAGCAAAAGGTCAAAAATATCGTTTTTTAGCAAAAGACACGGAGCAGAATACATTTTTGCCTAAATTTAGGACGAATTTTGATTTTTTTTTACATTTTTTTAATGTACAGGTTTAATGGCAAAATGTCAAAAATATTGTTTTTTTTTTCAAAATTGTCTTTTTTTTTTTTTTAGCACAAAAAAATAAACAATGCACAGGTGATCAAATACCGCAGAAAGGAAAGATAAATTCGTGGGAAAAAAGACGTAAATTTCATTTGGGTGCAGCGTTGTATGACCGCGCAATTGTCAGTTAAAGTAACGCAGCTCCGTATCGCAAAAAATGGCCTGGTCAGGAGGGGGGGAAATCCTCTGGAGGGCGAGGGGTTAAGAAATCTTCATGTGTATGGCCGGATTTAGATCCCACGACTTGCAGTGACGGTGATCTGATGTCAGTGTCCGGCTAGTTTTAGTTGTTCGGGGGGATTCGGGATGAAGCCTTTTAGTGAAATCCACTTTCTTGGTGAAGTGGAATCTCAGCCGGGGGGCCCCTGTGCATGTGGGGGGTGGGGGGGGGGTGGTGGAATGACATGACCAGGTGCCAGCTGCTTTCCATTCTCACTGGATGGGACCTTCTCCAGCCTTGTTTGTCGTCTTGGAGTCGGCATTGCCATGGTAACGGGCGCTGGCATGCATGGAGTCTGGCGAGACCATACTGTTAATCAGGACAGCTGCAGGGCCGGCCACTCCAAGGACTGAACAGATGGGAACCTCAGAAGTGCAGACACAGAAGGTTGTCATTAAAATACTCCAGAAGTGACTTTTCACATTATTCGTATAAACTCGGATATATCCCAACACACTCATCTACGCAGAGGACGTACCGGGGCATCCTGCTGGGGGGCGCTATAGGCTATCAGGAACTTCACCAAGAGGCAAGCTGGCACTTGTGGTTCCGCAGCCGGCTGACTGCAAACTAGAACTTTGCGAAATCCGTACTGTTACCAATGTGAATGCAGAAAGGCTCCAAAACTGCCTTTTTCAATCTTTTTTTTTTTTTTTTTCTCTCCAGGGGAACCCTTTAAATGGTTTTCAGGTCTCAGGGAAGCCCTGCTAATGGGAATATGCCGCTTACACTGGTGGTCAGTAAGAAGGGTGCACCTCTTTACAGTAAGGCCTCGCTCACACCCTACATGCAACAGTTGGCTGGAACTGAACAGAATCAGCAAGGGAGGATGTCACCAGCACACCGAGGATCACCAATATGGGTCCAAAAGTTTTAATGAACGATCACATAGTTACAGCTAGGCAACGTTTCGGAGCCTCGCGGGACCCTTTCATCAGGCAGGTGACATTGATGATCTGATGAGGACCCTGATGTAAGGGGATGCTGATGGGGACCCTGATGTAAGGGGATGCTGATGGGGACCCTGATGTAAGGAGGGTCTCTGATGAGGACCCTGATGTAAGGAGGGTCTCTGATGAGGACCCTGATGTAAGGAGGGTCTCTGATGAGGACCCTGATGTAAGGAGGGTCTCTGATGAGGATTCTGATGTAAGGAGGGTCTCTGATGAGGACCCTGCTGTAAGGAAGGTCTCTGATGAGGACCCTGATGTAAGGAGGGTCTCTGATGAGGACCCTGATCTAAGGAGGGTCTCTGATGAGGACCCCGATGTAAGGGGATGCTGATGGCAATCCTGATGTAAGGAGGGTCTCTGATGAGGACCCTGATGTAAGGAGATGCTGATGGGGACCCTGATGTAAGGAGGGTCTCTGATGAGGACCCTGATGTAAGGGGATGCTGATGTAAGGAGGGTCTCTGATGAGGACCCTGCTGTAAGGAAGGTCTCTGATGAGGACCCTGATGTAAGGGGATGCTGATGTAAGGAGGGTCTCTGATGAGGACCCTGATGTAAGGGGATGCTGATGTAAGGAGGGTCTCTGATGAGGACCCTGATGTAAGGAGGGTCTCTGAAGAGGACCCTAATGTAAGGAGGGTCTCTGAAGAGGACCCTAATGTAAGGAGGGTCTCTGATGAGGACCCTGATGTAAGGAGGGTCTCTGATGAGGACCCTGATGTAAAGAGGGTCTCTGATGAGGACCCTGATGTAAGGGGATGCTGATGGCAACCCTGATGTAAGGAGGGTCTCTGATGAGGACCCTGCTGTAAGGAAGGTCTCTGATGACGACCCTGATGTAAGGGGATGCTGATGAGGACCCTGATGTAAGGAGGGTTTCTGATGATCGATGATCTTTCTTTTAGCTGTTTATAAAGATTGCATTCTGACCATTAGGCCTCCTTCACACCCTATGTGTGGAAAAACTGATGGAACTGATGAACAGATTTCACTTGCAGTGACATCAATTTTCATGCGCGCTTCAATGAGTTTTACAAGTGTAAAATCCAAATGTACACATTCCTGCATTACAAATGCCTGAATGTATAAGTGGATGCTGCAGCAACTGTCGGCTGGAACTGAACAGAATCAGCAAGGGAGGATGTCACCAGCAGACCGAGGATCACCAATATGGGTCCAAATGTTTTAATAAACAATCACATAGTTTCAGCAAGGCAATGTTTCGGAGTCTCGCAGGACCCCTTCATCAGGCGTGTGACATCGGTGATCTTTTTTTTAGCTGTTTATAAAAGTTGCATTCTGATCATTAGGTCTTGTTCACACCCTACTTGCGGAAAAACTGATGGAAACTGATGAACAGATTTCACTTGCGGAGACATCAGTTTTCATGCACGCGTCGATGAGTTTTATACACGTTGCAGATTGCTGCACAGAAAAAATACTCCCAGCACACCCTTTGATCGCCCCAGATGTTAACCCCTTCCTGCCCAGTGCCATTAGTACAGTTTCAGTGCTTTTTATTAGCACCGATCACTGTATTGGTGTCACTGGGGATGTCAGTGACACCAAGTCAGTTCCCCCCCCAGTGTCAGAATGTCCGCCGCAGTCCCGCTATAAGTCGCTGATCGCCGCCATTACTAGTAAAAATAAGAAAAAAAAATTCATTATATACCGCCATTTGTAAACGCTATAACTTCCATGTAAACCAATTAATTTACACGTATTGGGATTTTTTTTTAGCAAAGACACGGAGCAGAATATATTATGACAAAAAGTGAAGTATCACCTCCTGAAGGCCCGGCAGCTGCTGCTACACTGTTCTCTGAAAAGCAATCTACCCCGGATCGCTTTTTAGAGGGTGGTAAGCTTACCATCTAAAGCTGTCCATAAACTGTAAAATATGTCTGGATTCCCCCATCCTTCCTGCTGGCTATTGTATCCTAACAGCCGCAACATGGTTCACACCTAAGCGTTTTTTGCAGCATTTTGCAGAAACGCAGTACAGTCCATTTAATATGATTTCCTACGGGACACATTCACATCTCCGTGTTTTCACCCGGCGCGGTTTTTTTGAAAAGGGTCAGCGACTTTTTTAACCGCAAAAATTATCATTTTTGGTTCTATAGCCTTCAATGGAAACGCTGCAGAAAAGCATGTAGTGCGTTTTTGCTGCCTTTTTGATGTGTTTTGTATTATAATCTGCCTAGCAACAAGAAAAAAAAATTAGCAAAACGCATCAAAAACACAGCAAAAATGCATGTGCAAAAATGCAAAATGGGATGCAAAATGCACTTCAAAAACGGATCGAACGCAAACTGCATAGGTGTGAACCCGGCCTTACCGGATGCTGCCTCGTTCTGTCGACAATTTCTGCCCAGCTCCTTTGATTTGCAGAGATGTCAGGTGATGGGATGCCAACCGCTCGCATTTTTGGCCAGTTCATCAGGAACTTGAAATTTACTGTTATTTATTTATTTCAGGTACTTATATATCGCCATCAATTTACGCCGCGCTTTACATATATATTGTACATTCACATCAGTCCCCGCCCCCGAGGAGCATACAATCTAAGGTCCCTAACTCGCATTCATACATACACATACTAGGGACAATTTAGACAGGATCCAATTCACCTACCAGCATGTCTTTGAAGTGTGGGAGGAAACCGGACCATCCAGAGGAAACCCACGCAGGCACAGGGAGCACATGCAAACTCCAGGCAGGAGGTGCCGTGGTTGGGATTTGAACCCAGTGACCCTAGTACTGCCAGGTGGAAGTGCTAACCATTTAGCCACTGAGCTGCCCGTAAATAAAAAATGAAATGAAAATAAATATAGCAAATGAAAAAAAGAATCCAGCGTATACAACAATAACTTCCTAAACAAAGCAGGTTGTTATTTATTGCTATGAAAATGACTTTTCCTTTTCAAGCTGCAGCTGCTATCATTTTCTGTAAAATTCAATACAATCCGGTACCCTGGAGTCACTCCGTAAAACTGTTGGCGTACAGAAATGTCATTTCCTGCTCGTGTGATTGGCTCGCTGATTTTCCCAGAAGTCTGCGCTAAGGTACAAGTCAGATTTTAGGCATCCCCTGCTAAAAGATTTTCAGTTTTAGTGAGATACTCCCCATGGGTTAAATACTTCCAGAGGGATGCAAACACTGCTACTTTCCTCATTAGAACACTGAGAATGCACCAAGTGATGAACCCGACCCTCCCATTCACTAATCGATCTTGAGAGGACACAATGGAGCAGGCAGCTTTTTCTTCGGTGCATACAAAGTTTGAACTGAAATGTGCATTGACCATCCAGAGGGTTTTCTGCATCCAGACCTGCCACGCTTTCTGGCTCCTGCCCTGCCACTCCTGCCACTCTATAAGCCTGACAGTGGTAACGGGAACTCTCATGCAAGGGTAGACTCTGATAGGGACCCTGATGTAAGGGGGGACTCTGATAGGAACTCTGATGTAACGGGGGACTCTGATGGGGACCCTGATGTAAGGGGAGTCTCTGATGGGGACCCTGATGTAAGGGGGTGGGTCTCTGATGGGGACTCCAATATAAGGGGGGACACTGATGTAAGGGGATGCTGAAGGGGACCCTGATGTAAGGGGGAACTCTGATGGGGACCCTGATGTAAGCGGGAACTCTGATGGGGACCCTGATGTAAGGGGAGTTTCTGATGGGGACCCTGATGTAAGGGGGGGGGGGGTCTCTGATGGGGACCCCAATGTAAGGGGGGGACACTGATGTAAGGGGATGCTGATAGGAACCCTGATATAAGGAGGGTCTCTGGTGGGGACCCTGATGTAAGGGGGAACTCTGATGGGGACCCCAATGTAAGCAGGGACTCTGATGTAAGGGGGGTCTCTCATGGGGACCCTGATGTAAGGAGGAACTCTGATGGGGACACTGATGTAAGGGGGAGCTTTGATGGGGACCCTGAGGTAAGGAGGGATTCTCATGGGGACCCTGATGTAAGGGGGAACTCTGATGGGGATCCCAATGTAATCACAGACTCTGATGTATGGGGGGGTCTGTCATGGGGACCCTGATGTAAGTGGAGTCTCTGATGGGGACCCTGATGTAAGGGGGTGGGTCTCTAATGGGGACTCCAATGTAGGGGGGGACACTGATGTAAGGGGATGCTGATGGGGACCCTGATGTAAGGAGGAACTCTGATGGGGACCCTGATGTAAGGGGGTGGGTCTCTGATGGGGACTCCAATATAAGGGGGGACACTGATGTAAGGGGATGCTGATAGGGACCCTGATGTAAGGGGGAACTCTGATGGGGACCCTGATGTAAGCGGGAACTCTGATGGGGACCCTGATGTAAGGGGAGTTTCTGATGGGGACCCTGATGTAAGGGGGGGGGGTCTCTGATGGGGACCCCAATGTAAGGGGGGGACACTGATGTAAGGGGATGCTGATAGGAACCCTGATATAAGGAGGGTCTCTGGTGGGGACCCTGATGTAAGGGGGAACTCTGATGGGGACCCCAATGTAAGCAGGGACTCTGATGTAAGGGGGGTCTCTCATGGGGACCCTGATGTAAGGAGGAACTCTGATGGGGACACTGATGTAAGGGGGATGGGGGGCTTTGATGGGGATCCCAATGTAATCACAGACTCCGATGTATGGGGGGGTCTGTCATGGGGACCCTGATGTAAGTGGAGTCTCTGATGGGGACCCTGATGTAAGGGGGTGGTCTCTAATGGGGACTCCAATGTAGGGGGGGACACTGATGTAAGGGGATGCTGATGGGGACCCTGATGTAAGGAGGAACTCTGATGGGGACACTGATGTAAGGAGGGTCTCTGATGGGGACCCTGATGTAAGGGGGAACTCTGATGGGGACCCCAATGTAATCAGGGACTCTGATATATGGGGGGTCTCTCATGGGGACCCTGATGTAAGGGGAGTCTCTGATGGGGACCCTGATGTAAGGGGGTGGGTCTCTGATGGGGACTCCAATGTAAGGGGGGACACTGATGTAAGGGGATGCTGATGGGGACCCTGATGTAAGGGGGGTCTCTGATGGGGACCCTGATGTAAGAAGGGACTCTGATGTAAGGGGGGTCTCTCATGGGGACCCTGATGTAAGGGGATGCTGATGGGGACCCTGATGTAATAGGGAACTCTGATGGGGACCCTGATGTAAGGGGGAACTCTGATGGGACCCCGATGTAAGGAGGGACTCTGACATCAGGGGATGCTGATGGGAACCCTGATGTAAGGGGGGACTCTGATGGGGACCCTGATGTAAGGGGGACCCCTGATGGGGACCCTGATGTAAGGGGGGACTCTGATGTAAGTGTAGACTCCAAAAGAGGACGCTTATGTAGGAAGGACTCTGAAGAAAGGAGAACCCTGATGACATCTTGCGTGTATAGGGGACTCTAATGAGGATTTTGATGTAAGGAAGACTTTTTTTTGGCCCCCACATTTGTATACATTTTATGATGTGGCCCTTGTCCTGAAAAGTCTGTAGACCCTGAGTTTATTGCGACACAATCACACAGTCTATTCACCTGCAAATAACATTCATCCTTACATAGCTGGGAGGGTTGAATAAAGGCCCCCGGTCCATCTAGTTAAACCTGTGTGGATGATGATGTCAATATTATTTCCCATATCCCTGTGTATTGCATTCACTAAGATGCCCTTCTAAGAGGTGACACCACTGATTGTGGAAGGGAGTCTCACATCCTTCCCGCTCTAACAGTAAAGAACTCCCTACACAGTTTAAGGTGGAACCGCTTCTCCTCCAATTTCATTGAGTGGCCCGCCAGGGGGCGGACTGACAACTCATGGGGCCCCGGGCAATAGGAAATCATCTAGCCCCTGTGTCCTCGCCCACACTCAAACCACACCCAAAAAAGCCTATGAAAGGTACCAGGGGTATCTGGTGGGGCCCCCTACTGACCCCGGGCCCTTGGGAAGTGCCCCAGTACCTAAATGGTCAGTCCGCCCCTGGTGGCCGTGTGTCTTCATCATGTTCCCTGAAATAGAATAGTTTCCTCCCTATGCTAGAATCACCATGGAGGTATTTGTGTATCACCATCATATCTCCTCTCAGGCGTCTCTTCTCCAGGGAGAATGAGTTTAGTGCTTGTAGTCGTTCCTCGTAACGGAGCTCCTCCAGTCCCCCTATTAGCTTTGCTGCCCTTCTCTGGACTCTCTCCAGTTCCAGCGCATCCTTCCTAAGGATTGTGACCAGAACTGGACGGCACACTCCAGATGTGGCAGAACCAGAGTATTATAAAGTGGCAGGATTAGAGTTTTATCTCCGGAGTAAATTCCATTTTTAACCTCCCTAGCGGTCTGATTATGTCAGTATTTCTGTGCTCAAAGCGGTACTTTTTTTGCATGGAAATATGTCGTTTTTTTATTGTAGGCTGTAATTTTTAGGAATAACTCACTGAAATCTGTCCAAACAAGAGTCTAGTAAACATCCCGGGGAGGATAAAACTTGAAACACAAAATCATAAATTATAATTTAATAATCATAAAAAATAATAATATAATAATAAATTTAATACAATAATATAATCAAACCAAAAACACTGAAATGTGAAATAGAGCGCCAAGTTCGCACATCGCTGAGCAAAGTCGCAGAATCGTTTTCAGTGTCTGATGAGGAATTTCCCCCACGAATCATTATCACTCAATTCTGCAAGTGGTTCTGATTTACTATCGCTGTTCTCTAGCC